TATATATATATACAGCTGCACTGTGTAATGTGCTGCTACAAGACTGGGTGGGATCAAAGGACGCCCCGTGCAAATAGACGTGGTAGATAAATTTGTTTGCCTGGGCAGCTGTATAAGTTCCGGTGGAGTGCCTGGAGATGGGATCGGAAAGGACAGTGCAGCTTTTGCCAACCTCCGACACCTATGGCACCGATGTGACATCAGTTTGCCAACAGTAGAGTTTATTCGGCGGTAGCGCGATCCATACCGCTTTATGGATCAGAAACGTGGCTTCTACGCTCAGAGGACATACGGAGGATGTCAGCGTTTCACCTTCGATGTCTTTTAAGCATTGATCAGGTCTGGTGGGTACATCAGATTAGCAATGCTGAGGTGTGCCAGATGGTCTTAAGAGGAAGGAGCTCTCCAGCGATAGATGACTTGCACACGCTTCATGGGTTACGCCGGTTAGGAGATGCACTCCACATGCCAGAAGACTGTCTGCCTCGCAGAGCTCTTTTGTCCAGCCCTGTGCTCAGTAAAAGCGATCGGTAGGTGGACAGGATATGGTCGGGTGACGAAGTACGGGAACAGTAACCAGTAAACTAAGTCAGGTGGACAACTGCCACCTCCCTGGATGGGGACCACGGGACTCAGCTCATCACTGGTTAATTACAGGCAGAAATGGCTTAGTCGCGAAGTCAGTGGCGCCCATACATCAAAGCTGTCGTCTTCAATGCGTTTGCTACCCAACCAGGTGTGCCACCGTCTCCAAGGCTTGGCTGTCCCACTCTCCCGTTTTTTCGGTGATCGAAACTGTAGCAGCTGGAACCAATGTGTCTACTCACATGTTTTAGCCCTGTGCTCAGTAAAAGCGATCGGTAGGTGGACAGGATATGGTCGGGTGACGAAGTACGGGAACAGTAACCAGTAAACTAAGTCAGGTGGACAACTGCCACCTCCCTGGATGGGGACCACGGGACTCAGCTCATCACTGGTTAATTACAGGCAGAAATGGCTTAGTCGCGAAGTCAGTGGCGCCCATACATCAAAGCTGTCGTCTTCAATGCGTTTGCTACCCAACCAGGTGTGCCACCGTCTCCAAGGCTTGGCTGTCCCACTCTCCCGTTTTTTCGGTGATCGAAACTGTAGCAGCTGGAACCAATGTGTCTACTGCACATGTTTTATAGCTGATTATTTGATTGATTGATTGATTACTTCGAATGGTTTTCGGAGGACATAGCTCGCCCATGATAGATGAACTGTTCATACTCCATAGGTTACGTTGACTTGGCCAAGTACTCCGTTTTCCATTCTACGGATTTCTCGGAGATCTCTTTTCGCACAACCACGCGAAGGATTGAAACAGGCCATGGGAGATCAAACAGTTACTCGGTAGCGGAATGTCCAATCTGTTACTAATTTCGCTGGTCATACCCTCTTCTATGAATGTGGACCCCGATGCCCCACACATTGGTGTTCAAATACACTTGTCCAGTCGTACACTCAACGGGGTGCACGCATGCAGCCCATTGGTTTAATCCATAAGTTCGTCTCCCAATCCTCTTAATGAAAGATTCACGCACCAGTTGTATCAGCATCTTCCTCCAAAGTATAGCTAACCAGTTCATCGGCGAAAGAAACTGTGGCAGCTTTAACTACAGTGCAAAATGTACTCAGTTTCAGCTGGAAATGGCGATGATGGTAATTACTTATGCAGCCACGTTGTGGTCAGCTTCAGAGCCACGTGGACACGCCTGTAGGTAATAAAGGCCAATTGGGTCATGGCCGACCTCTTGTTTGGTAAGTTTCGTGCTTGAGCGGAGTTAGTGAAGAAGGGACACTATCGGGGTCTTTAGACCTTGAAGACAATGCAACAACCGTATTACGTTCCTATGGGTAATTTCAATATACCCAATGTTGTCGGGTTAGCTGCTTGATATTACATGCCTGGACGCGTGGAGACTGTTCCTCCATGAAGCAGATGGATGCAGGGTCGTACAGCATGTGAACCAGCCCACTCGGATGATGCCGGGTCAAGAGCCCTTGGCGTCAAATGGCCTATTGGATCTGTTTGTAACTACTACTATACGTGATATATATATATATATATAATCGATTGCCGAAAACGGGTTTAAAGTTGTTGCTCATGCAATCAATAGAGGAGGAACCCTCTTTAGAAAGAGGGGGTTCCAGTGGGAGCCTGGTTTGGATAAATATCCCAATCAATCATTGGTTCGAGCGCACATTCTACCTAGTAGCCAACACGTGTTCGGAGAAGTGAACTAATTTGGCCGCAAGTCTACGTCTACTTACCACTAGTGAAACCGCTGCACACCGAAATCCCGCTTACGGTATGGGCGGTTTACCAATCGAACTTGTTCTCCGTCACACATTCTCCACACGTGCACCAGTGAACCCATTTTGTGAAATCCACAGTGGATCGCACCTCGGTGCCGTCGTGACACCCCGGTGTGCCCTCACACAGGTCGTTTACGTACTTGGTCTGACTAAATCCCTTTATGTTCTGCATCCGTGTACATTTGTTTTTTTACGTAAACGGACGATTTGAGTATCTGTCCCATTGTAGGAGTTGGGCAAAGGGTTTATTTATCAGTGGCGCTGACAGAATGACAACCTGTTAGGGAGGCACGTAGCAAATCACATATGGAGTGCTAGCAGCTTTGGCATTTCAGCTGGTAGATCATTCGTCATGCAAACAAGAAGTCAGAAGTGTGAGTACACCCAGCAGTGTCTTCTCATCTATGTATATTCGGACACATGGCCACGACATTTTCAAACCCTTTTCTATTATGTATCGATCCGCCCTACTTGAGTAAGTTCTTATTGCTGTTCTGTGGGGGGATGAGAACCACGAAGGTCATAGGCATCCACGAACCAACTAAAAACATCGTTCAGCTGTAACACCCTTTCGGTGCCTAACTGTCATCCCACCTGAAGGAATCATGAGGGCCGGGATACTGCGAGGTTGCCCAAGCCTAGACAAGAGAAGTCGAGATCCAGAGGTCGGATTCGTACTGAGTCATTTCACGATCCAACAACGTAAAAATCGACCACAATTAGTGGGGTAGACTTCATTGGATGAGGTCAAACTGAACAGAGAAGAAAGCATTTATGGACCGCGCAGCAGCGGAGCCCCAGACGAGAGCGATATCAGTGGGCAGAACGAGACAACCATCAGGCCATTCTTCAAGAGAGACAACGGATATCAACCAGCTGTTGGTGGCCATTTTTATCTCGGTGTTTAGGATCGTGCTAGAACGATCCATCCGCAGACTGTCACAAGCGGATGCTAACACAACAGACCCCCAAGAACCCCAGTGTGCGGGCCTTTAACCTGGAAGAATGAGAAGTGCGTCTAGAAACCAATTCTTCGGGTCATTTAGCTCGAACGAATAAATCTTTAAGTTTGGATTTCAAATGACTCGATATACCCGTAACTGGTGCTCTTTTACAATCGAGCATGACTACTCAGGATTCACTTTGCGTTTGCTTTCGCTGATGGGTGACCATATTCGACCGTAAACTTTTGGAATACCAGTGTATATAATCGAGCATGACTACTCAGGATTCACTTTACGTTTGCTTTCGCTGATAGGTGACCATATACGACCGTAAACTGTCTGTCGGGCATTTCCACTTTTGGAATACCAGTGTATACTCACTGTAATCGTCATTGCCGCTAGTTCCATCTGAACCAGCGAAATTTCCCTTTGATAGGAGCGTTGCTGCTCCCTAGTGTTGACCCGTAGTGCGACAGCCAAGTCGAATGTCTTAACTGAACAATGGAAAACCACATGCTTCGCTCTTAGAAGCAGAGGTCTGGTCACAGACTCGAAGGTCAACCTTCTTGAGATGGTTTTGGTACACCACTACAAGCTGCACTGCACACTAACGGTAGTTTACGTATGCTGTCCGACCAACTAAATGGGCACTTTTTTGTTGATTATCGCATATTCAGTCTTCTTGCAAAGGTAAAATGGACCTTTAAGATATGATGGCTAAATAGGCACTTTTTTGTTGATTATCGCTTGTTCAGTCTTCTCGCAAAGGTAAAATGGACCCTTAAGATATGGTGCGATCTAGAAGTAGAACTTATATTAACTAGAAGACAATGCGTCCACACTTTCCATGCCGACAGCGAGGCTGAAAATGAGTAATTGCTGCGTTTAGTGTTTGCAGTGGACATGTTTCACTTTGTCAAGGACCGGAGCCTGCATAGGCTAGTCTGTACTAACGCATACAGACACTGGACTTTTGTCTTGTGGCTCAACTATCGTGCATATTTCTGGCCTTACCGGGTTGTCTGACTTGCAGGACGAGTTTGCCACTACTCCACAGTGGACTCCTTGAGACCGCTGTGGTTCACTTACAGTTCGATTCTTTTGTTCTTCCCAGTAATCAGCACATACCATCACTTGCGTTTTACTTCAGGCCAAGATCTAACCAGTGTCAGCGTTTGATTGCCGCCACGTGCCGTTAATCGTTTGAAGCATGGCAGGTTCCGTAAGTCAGCATTTCAATAGCTTATTTTCGCAGAACCCAGTCGACCACAGACGTAAATGGGATCGTGCTCACTTCGAGAAGTTGGCAAATGACAGGCTGAACAATGAGCTCGAAGCGCTAAGAAATGCGCGAAAGGAAAAGGATACCGTCAAAAAAGAAAACCTGAGGGCACGCGACTACACGGTAACTTTTCTTCGATCTCTAAAACTTTGCTGTGATCCTAGATCGACTTAGAGTCGAACCTTAATAAGTCACAAGTCATCTCAAAAACCGGTCCTGGATCTTCACAGGCCGGTTATTATTGTGAAGTTTGTGACTGTGTTGTCAAGGATTCCATCAATTATTTGGACCATATTAACGGTAAAAAACACCAGCGTAATATGGGCATGTCAATGCGAATCAAGCGATCAACTTTGGAAGATGTGAAAGATCGGTACTAGCTAAACTGTGAATTAATCCCTTTTTCAGTTTCCTTTTGCACAAGCGCAGAAATGAAGAGAAGGCAGAGGAGTATAATTTGGATGAACGCATGAGACAAATCGCTGAAGAGGAAGAGAAACTTCGGGCCTATCGCAGTGAAAAGCGAAGGGAAAAGAAGCGGAAAAACGAAGAGCCAATTGATGAAGATGTTGCCGCTGTCATGGGATTTGGAGGATTCGGAAAGCGGTCGAAATGATGCTAGACCCCTCTGTCCTCACTTTCCGCCTTGTATATATTTATTTCACCCCAGTTTTATAAAAAAATAATTGTCCAAAAGTCCCTTCACTGCCATGCTGGTCTAGGTTTCCCTCTTACCAACCACATTCGAGTCTCGTATGTCGCACTTTACAAGGTGGTACGTTTTCATACGTAGTTGAACTTCGCCTGGATGATTCCAGTGTATAAATTTTGGTAGGAATCTTATCTTAAAATGAGTTTACATATGTCGCCGTTCCTAATTTATCCTCGCTTTGCAGAATGCGCTCCGCTGATCGCTTCCCGACTCTTATGCCGCACCCATAAACTTGAGGTCGTTTGCCACTGAATTCCTTATCGTTTATGGAGCCGTATGAACTTCTGGGATTAGCTAATTCGAATGAGTATTTTCCATCGGTGGTCGCGCCTACTAAAAAGAAAACGGATTTGTGTACAGAATTCCGTCTAGCGATTTGTATCATCATGCAAGCCGAACAAAGGTTTATAAGAATGCAAGACTTGGCAGAAAAACACCCGTTCGTTCATTTGCAATGCCCTTCTGGTGCCTAGTTGCCATACCACCAAGGGAAGCATGAGGGTTGAATCACTGCCAGGTCACCCAAGTGTAAGCAAGTCACGAACCTTCCGGTTGGTAAGTCCGCTCCTTAACCACAGCTATTTCGATCTCGCATTGAAAAACCAAATGTAGATAATCACAGAAATTGAACACCATACTGCATATAGAACTTACAGCGTGACACCCACTTGACAGTGAAGCTTTTAGTATGTGACTGGCATTTCGGACTACGCTGCGTCGCATTTCGTAAGTCCGACCTATGTGGATGGCTAATGGTCTGAGCCAGTAGTCCATCCGATGCATACCCTACGCATCCCATGTTTTTACTCATCTTACTTGACAGTTAATCTATTGATAATATACGCCGCTAATTTCAGAACTGTCATATCCCTCTACCTTTGGTTCAAACTGGTGAAAGTACTACCATGCTGGTCCACACACCGCATCCCACAAATTGGAATCAGTGTTAATTTATCGTATTAGTCCACCCGTAATCCTCTGTCTATGTTAGATTAACAACTGCCCTCTTGTAGGCCAATAGACACAGCGTCAGAGGGTGGGGGAACCACCGGCTGCTGTCGCCACTTGACTTGCTGTCATCTCGAAAGGAAACCCTGCTGTCATTTGGGTCAGACTGAGTCAGAGGCTAGGGGTAGGGTCCCCCCAACAAAACTCCACTGCCTACCACTTCTTTTTGGGTCAGAGGCTCAAGGTAGGGTACCGCGGCTCTTACAAGTGAGAGGTGCTGGATCAATTGATTTTCAGTTATCTGGCTGATGTGCCTTATGCATCCTTCTGCTTATTAGCAGTAAACAAAGTACTTTGCTAAATCCGTGAGATTCTTTATAGGTAGGAGCTTTCAACGTCCGGGCTCCATATCAAGTTGACAAACAAGCAGTGCTCACCAAAACCTTATACTCGCTTTGAATCGCTTACAGGGGTTTCGTGGATTGCTCGCTCCGATCAACTGAAATTATCTCTGGGCATTCCCGGTCTTCTGGGCCTCTTCCATTTCCTTAGCTTTCTGTGTCCATCAGACTTCACGGTCGGCTCGCACGCTCACTTTCACTTGTCATCCGATGATTCGTCGCGTCAATTATGTTCGGCCCGGCTGAGATTTAAGCCGTGCCACTTTTCGGTCTAAAATCGGGTACTCGAGTGAGCCTGACAGTGCCGTGCCACAGGCAAGTTTTCCAGCACTGTGCAAACAGGTGGTGATCTGGTCCCAGTTTGAATTCACATCTTATTGTGGAGCATTTGGAAAAGACCAAAGGACTATTCTGGTAAATTCGTCCAACATCCTGATTTACCTTACGTGGCTCTGAAAAACGAAGGGGGGGAGCGATTCCGGACGAGTGCGTTATCGTAATCCACAGTCAGTTAATAATCCGTGCCATCGGTAACTGATGACACTGCAACGGGTTTGAGTTTGTAGCCAGCATTGGAGAACACTATGTGGCCAGACGACTTCGGGTATTTCGAAAGTTACCACTGCACAAAAACAGCATGCGGTCAGCAAAGCTGAAGCAATCGTACCGAGTTCAATCCATATGGACCACCTAATTAACTCTCAGATGCGCTACGTCTGCCATCTTGTGCATTCAGAGCTCAGGCAACCACAATGATATCTGAGCTTTCAGATCGCCGTAACAAGGTATTCTTCGCGTCATACAACTTGTATTTGGTGTCACATACAATCAGTTGGAGCGTAAGCATACAAGACAAATAGGCGTCGGTCAAATTCCCCCTTATGAGACTCTTTCACGGACTTTGCAGACGGACCGCACAGAGTCGAGTATCAACGGGTATCCAGTCAAACAAGGATCCTTCCGCCCTGTCATATAGGGCGATACCAACCCCTGCACATCCTACCACAGCAGCAAAGGTGCGCAGTCGGTAGCGGGTGGAGAGTGTTGGAGTGTTTCTAGTACACAAAATCATCAGTGCCAAGCGAGTTCATTGTGAGTGCAAGAGCACTTTGTTGACTTGTTTGCTTCAGAGTACAGATATTGAGGGCGGACAGGTAGATTTTCGTCGAGGCTTCAAAATTGATTTCGAGATGCCTAAGGATGTTGATACCGGATGGTACTGCTTGTAAAACGAATGCAGAACGAACGGAGTCATCAAGCCCTAGTCCTGGGCCTACAAGAAGAAAGTTATTTAATGAAGTGGGAAGACGGAGAAGAGAAATTATGTGAAAGGGAAAGAAGGAAGGCGTCAGAAGTAGACCGTTTTTGCCTACCCGCTTTGCTGTATGCAGCAAGTAAGGCGCTCCGGCTGATGGTACCACGCGACGGCCGATGTGGCATGAGTTTATTTGTATGTGTGCAATTGATGGCTCATGTGAAATGGAATACTACCAGGGCGCCCGCACCTAGACGGAAGGATGATTGGGGTCCTCAACCCAGGCATGACGGCAAGGCAGCGATGTTTGGCTTTTTACGGAGCGATTCGCGCACATGTTCCAACCCCTAACCTGGAGGATGAGGATCATCTTTGCGCCGTCCGGTCATCCTCCAGCTCAGTCAAGCTCCGTGCCTCTCGACATGAAAAGCGGTGCCTATTTTTCTTGCCCCAATGGACTGCACCAATGACGCAGGTAGAGTTATAAAACCTCGTTTGTCATGCAAAAAGCACTGATATCGTGATCCTCGCGAGCAATATCAGTGGTCAGGTCGTTCATCTCAGCTCTGGGATCAAATCTAGGCGGCCGATTCGGGGTAAACGCTCGTTACACAGGCACCGTAGACGACTCCATTTTGCACACCATCAGCTGTTTCTCATCAGTACGAAATTCGTGCATGAACGTTTGTATAGCGTAACCTGACACCCACCAACTGCAAATCAACGGTGGACCCAGTTGAATCATGTAGCCGTCAGCCACCGGCGGAGGGCCACAATTTAAAACTGCCGTTCATTCTGGGGCACAATTCGGTTCCGATCACCCCATAGTGCGTGCACGCCTGACAATTCGTTTATCTTCAGGCCCTCGGAAGTCAGCAGAAAAGCGAATCAATTCACCTTTCCGAAGAACTACCATAGCTCAGCAGTATTAATCTCAGATAGCTCAAAAACTCTACAGTAAACCAATACTGTACTGGTTTTGTGTACTTGGATGAAGCATGGCAAAATGTGAAACAAGCTGTTAGTGGCGATCTTTGACTTCTCCGATATAATCGAGTGATCACTAAACATTGTTGAGACTGCTAGCGTCGACTGATGCCTGGAAGACCATACTAACAGGCAGTGAGTAAGACGGCGGACGCAAATTCCTCAAAAGCCAAATAGTGGAGAACCAAAGGAAAGTCAGATCGTTCGCGGACACCAAAGTCATTGGAGGTGGCGAATGCTTTTGGTATAGGACGGCCTGTATCCAGCCCATTAGAAAGATGGCGGGAAACCCCTCATGGAATGTGTAATAAAACTAATGGGTGCGATAGGTAGTGAGGAGAAGTACCTGTAGAGTAGTGCCTATAGACAGTTATTCCTATCTTCGAAAAGGGTATGTGGTCGCTGTGGGAAAAATACCATGGCATCAACTTGTTATGTGTGGCATCGAAGGTGCTCTCTTTTCTTGTCTTTCAAAGGCACACCGAACACTGGGAGAAACCGATCCGTGAAAGCCAATCCGGTTTTCGTCCTACAAGATGATGCATTGATCACATTTTCAACTTCCTGTAAATTCTTTAGCAGCGATACTGTTTCCAGAAACCGGTCTGGTGGTCTTCCAAAGTGTTCTTAGGGCGCGATGCACCTAGCTCGGACCGATGCTAATCTGTTTGTAACGGTCGCTCCACCTTTAGAGGTCAATCTTTTCACTAGTTCCACTTGTTTGGTGTCTTAATGAGTCAATTGGTAGGATGTGGGGCTTCCTACGCTCCATCAACCACAGGGTGTATCTTACATCACGTTGGGAATTAGTTTAAATTTCAGGGTTGCTGAGATCGTGTGTGTGGAGTGAGTAGGACATGTTTTTCCACCGGAGGTATAGTTTCTTCAGTCCATCTGATAAAGAAGTGGAGGTGATCTAAAATTAACACTTCACTTACTTCAGCTTATTG